GGAAATCATAGGAGCCGTTTTTGAAATCATTGTGCGCAAACGTTACTCATATTATAGTATAGCTAAGACACGCAAAGAAGTGAATATTCACTCTTTGGGTGCTAACTATCATAGCTATAGCTGACTCATACGTGCATTGTTGTCAATAATAATTAAATGAACAGTTTTTTTTTTTCAGATAGGAAAATTTCTTTAGTTTTTCCATTTGAACAGATAAACCTTTTGCCATATTTTACAACCAAAAAATCGTTATGGTCCAGCCAATTTTATTCTATCTCTTTGAACTTTTTGTCGTCTGAAAATTGTAAAAGAAAAAACTGATTATTAAAATATATTCATAAAATCAGATTTTTTCAGTAATTTAGATCAATAAAATGTATTTCATTTTGAAACTTTTAATTGGATCAAGCTTATTTCTGTTCCAACACAGGTATCTTTTACCTTGACATGATGCTACATTAAGATCAGTTGGACCAATCTAAAGATAACAAATTTTATATAGAAAATACAGAATGATGGATATGGATATATGGTTAACAAAGCGATTTAGAAAAAAAATCAATTCTTGAGTTTCTGTTTAGTTTGCCCCACAGAACCATTTCCTGGAGATTGGCTGTTTACTTATGCGACACATGTAGGCGTACAGAGAATATTCCGGTTTTTGTGAGGCACACTGATTTTTATCTCAATTTCACTGATTGCAATTTGTTGTTAACACTAATGTTAACACTAAATTTAACGCAAACAGCAAAAACATAACAGTAGGCCTAAATGAAATACGCATTGAATAAAGCTTAACTTAAGGATAAAGCAATAATGTATTTTTTCCCTTAATACATCTGTCATTACAGAAACACAATTTGTCATCCAAGGTAATATTTCATTCTTGACCACACTAATCTATTAAACTCTCTAATGCTGTAAAGGTTTCGTTTGATTGACTTAATCAATCATTAACCAAGCAATTAGAGGGACAGGAAAGACTTGCCCAACCTCGGGAGAGAAAGTAACTATAACGGCTACCAAGGACGAGCAAGGCACGAGCGAGACAGTTCTTGTAATCAGCTGATCAAACAATCAGCTGTTGCGACACTTCGGCCAGCTGTTATGATTAGTTAATTAAATCTGAGGTTAAGTCTGTATTTAAATACGAAATACAGTATTTTCGTTCTATGGTAATATTCCTCAATGTGCAATGCAACCAATGGAGATATATAGTTTGAATATAAACCTAGCTACAGTAGCTTCAGGTTAAGTGTAAGAATTTGCCTGAAAAAATAAACGAGTTTTCATTTAATTTTCATTATGACCAAATAATATTGCCCGACAATATACTGTGTAGAATATTTGTTATAGAATAAAGCTAGATGGTTTCTATAGTTGTACAGTTTTCATCTACTTTTTTAAGATAGAATTACTTCGAAATAAGAACTAGTTATGGATGAATAATCCAATATTGTAACAGGATTATTCTCGTCCTCAAAAAACTCATTTATACTCGTATAATTTCTAAATTGAAAAGACGACATTTTAACGACTTAGGATATTTCCAAAGTATAACATTGAGATAGAACATTAAAAACAAATATAAACCCCTACTTTCATTGATATATAAGTTGATTTTAATCTCGTAGTTTTTTTTTTTTTTAACTTATTCCACATAAGATTTCCAGCTTAGCTCGTCAAAGTGTGGTTCAGACAGGTCCAAGGCGCGCCTAGGCGCCGACCTACCCAACGCCTTACATGGAGCGCCCGATGGGCGCGGGCCGCGAAAACAAAAGAAAATTGCCAACGTGGGCAGACTGGTTGTAACCCTATCTTGGTTATGTAAGGCGGCGTTGCAGACGGTCACATGATAGCTGGGAGAACTGCTCGTTAATACGTAGTTTTTGTAGAGTTTGGGTCTTCGGGGAGATGACAGTGTAATTGGTGAAGATAGTGACCGACTTTTCGGATGCGGAATCTACAACTCAACTATGGGTGGTAGGTTAGTTCCGCAGATAATGACCCTAGGACCATAAATGAGTAGGTTAGTTCCGCATTTGAATCTGGTGGACCCCTTAAGTAGGTAGGTTTGTTCCGCATTTATATTGACAAAGGTGGGTTACACTTCATTAGATAAACGTAATTAGCCTCACGAAAAGCCGACGTAGAATGAATATTGAACATATTGATGTTAAATATCCAAAGATTGGATACGCTTGTATCCGATAAGTAATTCGGAATAGTAATGATACAAACTCTACAAATTTTAGGTTAAGGATGTAAGGAAATTCACCTGTTTCATAAATGTTAAAAACAAATTACCTTAGTAATAATACTGATTTGACTTTTTAGTAATAACGAGTTGTTGGCGCGGCCTACGTACGGGAATCGAGCAGTCCATTAAACTGTATATAGTGTATCTATTACTAATTCAGGCATGGTTTAAGCAGTTCAAAATTTATAGTAAAGAAAAAGCTTCCAAGATGAGTTAAAACATGTGATCATTGTTATTTCCCAACCTTTCCTCAAAAAGTTGAATAGTAAAATAATTCTCATAAGTTTTTTTTTTTTTTTTTTTTTTTTAGATTCGTGAGCTTCGATTTGTATACAGCAATGGTTAAAGAATGATCTTACTGATTTCCTATAATCAATGACAAAATCTCAGAGTAAATCTATAGAATATTTTTTATTCAACCAGCTGTTAGTTATAACTAATTATATTTCACTAAACAAACTAAATATTTTAAAGACTGCTCAAAAAAATAAATTAAAACATCTATTATTTTACTATGTATATTTAAATAAACTTTCATTCCCTTATCGATTACATAAACCTATCAATGGTTATATCATTACACATAGTATAAATAAGTCAATTCTACGTATGCCATTTCATTTTCATCCAAAGGATGAATTTGTGTCGAAAAACGCAGTGTTGTTATTATACTATACATTATACTATACATACATACTACATTATATTATACATAGCTAGAGTATAATGTTACTGCGAGAATCTTTCTAGTTTACCAGCGTTTTTGGAGTTGGACAAGTTTGGAGTTATTAGCATTTTGTAACATATACGTATTTAAGCAACAGCTGGTGTAGTGTGATTGTTAGTTTTAAGATTGCGGCTTCACAGGACAGGTTGCTGGCAATACACAGTTTAATGGTACTTTGGTACATACCGAGTTGATAATGATTTGAATGGCTGGGATCGGTGAACAAAATATCTGCATCAGCTTTGGTACAAAACTATAGAGACATCGCTACAACTGAAACATGCTACTTCAACTTTAACTCAATCAGAACTTGCTTATTTTTATGGATTATCAAAATAATCCATAAAAATAAGTTACAATAGCGGTACACCGAAGTTGACTGGCTTTTTTGTACGCTTCACTGCTCTTTAGAATTTCATGACATCTATTGTTTAAAGCCGTCAACTGCGGAACTAACCTACCGGATTATAACCCACCCTACGGGACCCGGATTAGTGTAGGTAGCAAATGCGGAACTAACGTACCCCCGTTCCATCATACAGCTCTTTACAATCAGTTGTATAGTTTACAATTATTTTGACCACAGTTTATCCTACAAATGTGTTTGCTTGCTTGAGATCCCTGTATCTATTTGTAAAGGGGGCTATTTTTTTATTTCAATAATACCTACAAATTGACGGTAAAATAATAATTTTGACGGTAAATTAAAATAATAATTGCAATATAATTGGTAAATCGCATAATAAACTGAAGAAGTTATTCTTAGCATTGATTTGGATTAACACTTCCTAGTGTGCAATAGTTCCCCAAGGTTGTCTTCTTTACTTTCTTAACTCGGTCACCACAAACCTGTGTTGTTTTGAAAGTCACATTCCCACGTAACTATGGTTGGTTTCTGAGAAAACCTCTTAACTATCAAACGTGTTAATTATTCACTTAAACTGCACCATGACAAACCTACAAACAAGGTAAATACCATAGTTATATCTCAAAAGTGGAATAGTTAAGTACATTGTTAACACTGTATAACTTACTACTTATAAATCACTGCCTCCTGTAGGTATATTGTACAAATGAAGTTAATTGATCATAACAAACTACAACTACGCGTACACGATTAATTTGTCATTATTATTGGTAGAATCATTTTTGTTGATACATTCCTTTGCAAACTTTTTCAATTATGACTATATGAATGTTTACATTATTGATCTTTACTTTACGTCTGCCCGATACTCATGCAATGGTGGAAACCTCTTTACACTAAAGTCGTCGGATACTCTACAGATCTCAATAACCAGTTCCAACCAAGGACCGACTCATTGAGATTATTCCACTTCTGGCCACGTTTAGGAAAGTGTCATGATTGTGGGGAAGTAGTGAAAGGTTTTTGTAATCAGCAGTTTAACGGAAGTTATGAAGCCGAGCGTCGTGACCGAGTGTTGTTGGAGGGGAAAGCTATCGACGGAACAAGAACTGTCCACTTTTTATATCTCTGTAACCAGTGCAGAAAACAATTGCTCGGTTTAATATAGATTTTCCGACTTTCTACTGTTATTTCTTTCAATGAAACCCACTGAAGAAAATAGGGCATTGTCTTTTTGAAATGCTTGTTGGAACAAAACCAATATTGAGGTAACGTCACGCAGCTGAAGCAAATCAATGTTTTTTTGTATAGATCAATGGCCTTTGAGTCATATTTGGGTTTGTGCATTAAAACGTCGTTTGGTGGGTGAGTAATGGTGTACGCTAGTAATGGGCATATTCATATGATTTACATGTACAATTGTGACGTAGTTGAATAGTAATGGAAAGAACGAGGAAATATCGCTCAATATGATGGCTGGTATGTTGAAGAATTTAAATTTCCATTTAGGTAATACGATAGGTGCACTGCCACCAGCCATCGCAAACCTACTTTATTATTTTCAAGGCCCGGAGAGATCTTTGCACGATCATGATTTCCTATATCTTCTTTTACTTTCCAAAGACCAACCTATCTCTTTTTTTCAGAATGGAGACGTCACTCCCGCTCTTGGGGATTTTACTGATAGCACTTGCACTCCCATCACTCTCGGACCCGGCCGAGCCCAACCCTGGGGTAGTCGGCGCCCGCAAGCTAGCCACCGCCGTCGACTGTAGCGGGGCCGTCGCCTTCTCCGCCGCCGGTGTCAACCCCTCTTCTACCCGGGGTCAGCTCAGCTACCAACGTCCTCTCAACGACCGAGGAGTCGGCTGGAGCCTGGAGACCGGGGAGTTCACCTGCCATTGCCCCGGACTCTACCACTTCGCCTTCTCTGGCTACGGCGAGAAACCTGACACCAGGTAAACAATTTATGAAAGATACACGTACACATAACATATTGCTTTTACAATGGGAGTTCGGCAACTGATATTTTCCTGCAGGACAAGTCATTGCCAAACAGCCTGGCTGTAATCAATACGCTAGGGTTCTATTTCAATTGGCAGTCAAACGTGTTAGTCAGGTTTTGAACGACTGCATAGTTAAAATTATGCAGTTAAAGTATGGTTTATGTAACAGGGAAGAAAATCGTATATCTTCCAGATATTAAAAATCAGTTAAAGGTTAATTTAACTGTTATTGAGCACTCATGATTCAAGTATACACATTTTTTTATTCCATGTGTATTTTCTACCTAAGATGTCCTTAATAACACAATCGCATTCGTAACCTTATTTCTTCACTAGATTCCTATCTTTTTAACATTCAAAGCATTTAACTAATCAATCTGGTGCCATAGCTTTGTCTAATCCAGTTGCCAATTACCTTTTTGAATGTGAATGATTGGTTTTCGCTATAGAGGGTAACTTTCCTTGCAGACTGATGCTGAAGAAAAGGGTTGCCAACACTACAGAGTGGACGGACGTCGTCGCTGCTGGAGGTCCACACTCCGGAGGAGGTTCCAGCGTCGCTCTCTTGGACCTGGAGGTCGGTGATGTCACAGCTGTGTTCCTGCAGGAGGGGAATCTCCTACAGGACACCACTTCAGCCAGCTTCTGCGGCTACAGGATCATAAAGAAATAGACGCGAAGTTGAAAGATGGATCTGGAGTACCGGAAGGCTGTGTGTTAGGATTTTTTTCACGTTTTTAAACATGCAGTCTCGCACGGATGCGTTCAAGACTTATGACAAATACACAAAACGAATTTGAATGTTCTGTGTCCTTCAAGGGACTCAGCTAGGACAGCATTTTATATTCCTAACAAGATTCGTGTGAACGTATGTTACGAGCGCTTCACCTTAAGTTTCCATTCCTCCTAATCGCATGGCTGTGTATGTAACATCTTGTGCCATCTTGTCTCAAACACGTTCTTCGGCAGTACAAAATAACGTCAACCGCAGCGAGCGACTGTGATGTGTTTAACCTAGTCAGTGTGAATCTAGTGGTTCAGTGTTTCACGGACAATGCTTGACTTTGCATGTTGTAGTTGGCATGTCCCTGTAGTATATCTCTTCTGGTGCAAGCACATTGTAAACTTGTGTTCCTGTGATTAAATGTTTGTACACAACTTGTTCTGTATTCTTATTCTTGTTTCACTAACATTTCGGGCTCACTTTTGGTTTTGGCTCTTGTAGTGCTTTCTTGTTTCTAGTCACGCTTTCAGAGGAGTTTTTTTTGGAGCTTTCTACAGGACGAGAATGAAAGTGCTTAATGGAACGTGCGACAAATCTATTACCCTGTGAAATTGGCGGTTCCGCACTGTACTCTGTGGACGCCGCAATCACAACCTTTTGACGACTTCACCCGCAGGCTCTCCTGTTGCATCATTGGTTATCACGTTATCAGTCACGGTAGCACATCAGGGAACTTACACGTTGAAAACAGTCTTATGCATACTTTACTGAATCTTAACTGAAAGCAAACTTTTTACCGTAGATTTACAAAGCACACATTGGGTCTCAAAACTCCAGACCTTGAATCTCAACTTCTTGGCGTGAGATGGAAGATGGATGCAGTCCGCCAGCACCTTCAACCAACAAAAACAGCCTTCACGCTTCACATCATAGAAAATGCAATAAGATAAGCTCACATATTTTTTAATATATCTTTCCTTATGATTGTATTTTTGTCTAAATTGATAGCTTACGGGACTAGTTTGTTTATCTATTTTGATAACAGGGTACAACTAGCAATTGATGTTAAGATAGTTTTACATTTTTAGGAAGTTCATCTTTCGTTTTTAAGTTGTGCTTAGTTATTCTAGAATTTAGCTGGTTTAAGATTTTCGGTTAGAAAGATTTTTAAATCCGTTAATACAACAACATTATTTTATACATTTACCTTTCAACTATTTGTTTTTCTTCGTTTTATATACTGTAGTTGGGGTTATTCAGAGGTTGTGTTGTTACATATATAGAATTGTAAAAAGTCTAACATTTCAATGATATTGAAGTTTTACAAAAAAAGGTTACCAGACTTTTCGAAGTTTCCACCACCGTGTTATGTTTACATATAGGCTAGCGGTTCACTGAGCTTACTGAGAGAAATTGTACTTGTAGATCCATTGCCAAAATCAAGCTTAGAGTAATCACTCGCTGGCACAGAGCAACTACAATGAATATTAAGTGTTACAAATTATAATTCCATATCACTTCCTGTTGCACTCTGGTGGTACCCAGTTGCATACCACGTGTTTCCAGATTGTATAACCTATCTCAAGATGGCGGCGTGGACGTATTGGGAAAGTTACATCACTTTAAGGTCCATTACTCTCGCATACAACGCTTGATGCCGGCTCCACAAACGCTTTCGAAAGGTCACTTTGCTTTCGAGTTGTTAATGTCAACTGCATGTAAATAAACTCGATTGGGTCACGAGCTAAATTTACGATTTTAACAACACTTCTTTATACTCTGTGTTATTTGGTTACCGACATGCTGAGCTAATTTATGTTCTTGTGAAATATTGGTTTTGGTTTGACAGCACTTTTGCTTATGTGATATTAAATGTTTATGGCAATTATTTTGCTCACTGTAAACTATACTCTACACTAAAGGGATTTCACCATAAAATAAAACTGTGATATTAATATTAGGAGCACTTTAATTGAATATTGTAAAAATTGTAAATCCATTTGGAAAATCTGTAGATTTATTTAGTAAAATATTAGTACAATCTTTTAAAATCCATAAAACAAGATAAGTTATCATTTACTATACATCCTATATTCAGACTTTTTGGATACTTTTGAGTTTTGTTAAGTGTATAAAATTTTGCAATTCAAAATTTCTGAAATCACTTTAAAATATTTACTAGATTTTGGCAAAAAATCACTCTGACTTTTATTTGTTTATAAATGTGTGTTTTCTTTAAAAACTCTATAAGTTTTTAAGAATAGTTTTACCTAGCACAGTATTAGTACGCAATGTAATTATAGTCAACTATTAATGTATCTTAATATTAAGAAACTAAATGCATGATTTTTTTAACACGGCTAAGAATTTAGTTTTGACCGTGAAATACATAAAATTAATTAATGAATAAATTGATTGATAGATTAAATACATTGATGAATATACTTTTGCTTAAATTTTCAAATTTTTATATTGTTAAAACTTTACATAATTCAAGGTTTTTCTATCATCTTTAAAATATTTTTACATTTTTTTATTTAAACACTTTACAGCATGCCTCTGCCTCTACAATTTCAAGCTTTATTCTTGTTACTCAAGACTTGTTTCTATTTACATTTTAATTACGTCCTTACCAGATTTCTGCAATTGAATGACACTTGTTTAATGCATGAAATACCAAATCCAGTTTGAAACTACTTTATTTGTGTTACTTCTACTGTATATTTAAATGCACGATTAATGTTTGCCTCCTTTCTGTCCATAATTTTACCCAAGTATCCAAGCAAAGCATGCTGTCTTTACTTATATCACTTAAAAAATAAATCACTGTCTTTCTTCATATTTTCTTTCACAGCCTCATTCTCTTTATGCTATACATTAACTTTCACATGTACTTTTGCTACCAATACTGCTACCAACATGCTGTAATATTTTATTTATTATTAATTAGTAATTTAATTTACTATCTCTTTACCTTTGGATTACCGGTATCCTATTCTTATGCTTTTGAGAATGTACTTTCTTATAGCACACATATCTCTTTCCACCTACTTTATCTATATCTGTTCTTTTTTGTTTTGCCATATATATTTTCAAAGCTATACATTTCTCTCTTTTATGATGCATGATACCATCCAAACTATATTACTTTCTTTTGTACCTTAAACTATATTACTTTCTTTTGTACCTTAAACTATAACCCTTTCTTTTGTACCTTAAACTATAACCCTTTCTTTTCTACCTTAAACTATAACCCTTTTACTATAACTCTTAAGAGCATGCTGATAAGTTATTTCTTGTATCTCTTCCTTAGGCAATCCAATTCTCTACAACCTCTATCTGTTTTATTATAATTTATAATATGATGCATACATTCATTCATACAGGAATGCATGCACCAGTTATAAAGATATTGAATGTGTTTCTCAGAATAATTATATAATATCTTTTCTCTTGTCAAAACCATCTGTGTATGTGCATGTGAATGCTTAACATTTTTTGAACTAAATTTTCTGTCTCTTCACTTTTACTATACATATTTTAATTTCCTCTTCTTAACAGTTTTTTCTTGACCTCTTCACTACACTTGGTATCACGAGCATGCTATCAATACTACTTACTCTTTAAAATGATTATCTATTCGTCTCATTATTTTTTCCTTACTTCTTACTGTATTTCTACTTTTTATTGTCTCTTAATTTGGAGCATGTGAATATCTCAAAGATACTTTAATATATTTTCTGGTTTGATGTATATCTCTACTGGTATAGTAAATGTATTTCTTCTATTTTTTATTCAATTCTTTTTTTTATATTATGCTTTCTTTCAAAAAACCTCCTTCAACTCCTGTTATATCTTTAGTTATTTTCTTCTTCCAATAATGTTTTTATTACTTTATATTACAAATTTAAAGCATGCCTAAATACTTAAAGCATACTAAAATGATTTTCAATTATTTTAAATTCATGTAACTTTCTATAACTTCTGGCCTTCCACTTAAGTTTCAATATTTGAATTATATTCTTGACTATATAGACTATACTATTGAATATATTAATACTGAAAGATTTTATATAGATATAATATGCTAAATATCTTACTGCATGTCATTAACAGAGTTTTAACTTTATTCACTATTCTATTCCCTCTTCTTTAATCACTCTATTCTATACACTTATTTTCAATGTATTTTTCTACTATCTAATTCTTTGAAAACATCATTAAGTTTTTGCAATTCTTAAATTCTTGTTATATTTTTTTACTTTCTACAATGTTTTCTTCCCTACTACCTTTCCCGTTTGTATGTTTTCAAATGTTTGCATGATTTCCGTATTTTTAAAAGTATTTTCCATTCAGAAATGTTTGCTGTTTTACTTCTTACATGTAATTTTCAGCTATGTATAGTTTCGCAGAATCTCTTTCAAATTTTCTATTTTTTATAATTTTTCTCTATCACACTTGTTTTTATATCATAATGGCTTTTCTACATTCTTTCCAGGTACTTTTCTGTACTATTCTGCTCTATATTTTCTTCTAATTTTAGAGGTTTTCTCTCATGTTAACACTTGAACCATTGCAAAGCATTACATTATTTATATTCTGTTCTATGCACCTGTTAATTGTTCTTTTTAATTCCTAATTTCTTTCCTCTTAGTACTCATTTTTCTGTTCATTTTATTGCCTATAAACTTTCAATGTTTTTTCCTTCGAATTGTTTCTTTTATCATAGCCTCACAATAATGTTAGACTTCATAGCATTTATATTGTGTTTTAAGTTTTAAATCCAACAACCCTGTATAACATTCACAAATCCCTTTGAAGATACTTCAGTACTTTTCTTTCTTTTACCCCAAGTTCCTTGGCATGCACTGTCATACTTATTTTTTTTAGATTTCTGCATGAACTGCCATGAGTTGCAATCTTGTTTATACTTTACAAAACCAACTTTTGTTTCTTTTAACTTTTATACTTTTTCTTCTACAATTTAACTGTTCTGTCGTTCTCTCGTTCTTTCCTCTCCCACTTAATTTAAATCCAAACAGTTTACTTTGAATAATGTTTTAATTACATGCATCTTGGTGCACATTCATCTTGGTTTCTGGATTAGTAAGTTGTGTGGAGACCCTTTTTACTCTATGGCAAACATTGGTCAAATCTTTAATTATTCTACCTATCTTTAACCTTCAATTTCTGCATTGCTCAGCTATGCATTTGTTTATATGAAAATGTACATGTTCATGTGGATTTCACAGAAATACAGCTCAGTTATAAACATATTTCTTATATTTGGTACTTTTTTTTATGATTGAACAACTGTTAATACATGTCTACAATTTTGTATAGCATATTTAAGAATGTATTGGTTTTAATTTGCATGATTGAAAAGAAGCATGTCAAAATGGATTTCAACTTTCTTCTTGGAAACAGTTACCTA